TACGTGCATGCGTTTTTAATGTAGGTACACGAGTACTTATGAGTACACGCATTCGTATGTAGTCATATCTTGAACTTCTTTGTTTCTTGGTATGTACATGTACCTACAGGTATATATTTATACATAATACAAATATATATATATATATATATATATATATATATATTTATGTTTGTTTATCAGTCAATCCTCATATGATTATTTTTATCTTCCATACTGCTCTGTTTGCAAGCCACTGCTATTATTGCTGTTTTAATGTTATTATCATTGTTTCTGTTGGAGATTTTTTACGTTCTTAATTTTTATGTGGTTGTTGCTATTTCTTCAGTTTCTTCATGTTTGTCGTGGATGGTTACGTTACGATAATAATAACAATAATAATGCTGTTATTAGTATTATTATACTAATAAAAATAAGAATGATAATGAATGATAGTTGCTTGATTAGCCGCTTTTAATTGCTACTCGTCGATAGGATGGTACGAGAAACTCAAGTGTGCATGCTGATGATCTTCAGGAGGGTTCAGATGCATAAAAAGGCTTTCTTGCGAAGTTTTGTGAGTGAAGTGAACCACCCTGAAAATGGTATTATTACTACTTTTAAAGATAATTTGAAGTCTGGAAAAATCAGTGTTTTCTATTGTTTTTTTATGTTTAGGTTTGTTATTTTTTATAATGTAGCTCTTATTAAAGGCAGAACTGTTCACATGTCGTTTTGTCTACACATTTGGACTAAACTTTTTTGCCCAATAACTCCTACTCTATTGTACGATGACGTTGTTTGCAGTCGGCTCAGCACTTGTAAATTCATATACTAATTAAATAGTTCACGATTAATAACAGTCTAGAAAGGTAAATATAAATGCATTGCCTGCTTGTTTGCATTGATAACAATTTAGCATTGAATGAACGCGAGTGAGGAGGTTTGTTTTTGTTGTTGTTTGTTCGAAGCAAACATTACCTGATGATGGCTCACCTGGCCTTGAATGAAACGCCTGAGATGAAGAATGTTTATGCGTGCAACTCTTTGAGAACTATCTACCAGTTTCTGGAAAAGTTCATTATGACGGATGTTGTTGGTGTCGGTTCACAACCTTCCAAAATATAAATAAGTCTTGTAATGTATGATGACATTGCAGATAACGATGTTTTTTATAATGATATAGTTTGGGATGAAGATTGTTTCTGCGGCTTCTTTGAAGTCGATATGTTCATGTTTATAAAAAAAATTATGATAGATAACAATGAAAAATTATTAATGAAATGTTTTATGGCAAGATAATTCAAGATAATATTTTAATCTGATTTTATTGTGATTAATAATTTTGATTGGGCAACGTTATTTTATTTATAAATAAGCTTCCCATGCGTTTCGGAAATAATTAAAAGCAGTAAGGAAGGCCATCGGCGTAATGAGGTAGGTGCATTGTTCAACATTACGTAGATGACAACGAAATAACTGCTGTCAAAATTTTCAACGGTAAGCTTGATATCATTTAAAAGCTGAAAAGATTTTTTGTTTTTTTTTTTTACAATTTTTAATATTTATTTCAAAACTGGTATTTTTGTAAAAATTTGTCAAATGTTACTTTTGTGACGACCCTAGTATAAGTAATCGTTAGGAGAGATTTGCTTTAGTCTCAAAGCCCTCCATGACTAAGCTCTTGGACAGCACAACATGTGCGCATATGCATGTTTGCATGTTTACTGTGCTGTACTGCACTGTTGTGTGTATGTACTATTGTGTAAACAACCAGATTTATGTAACGATTCACACACACACACACCACACACACACACACACACATGCACACACACATTTCAACATAACGCTTAATAGCAATAAAATATTTGTTTATTATATCCAGGGTTGTGACGCCTCGAGACGATCACTATACTGTCATGACCTTGTTTCAAGACCTCAAACTTTTAGACTCGACTTGTCTCATTTTAAAATAATGTCAGTTTTGTTCTCGTTTTTTCTACTTTCTTGATAATTCTTGAAATAAGACGCAGATAGGAAATTATTTTGTTCACATACAATTTTTTAAAATCCTTTTTGATAAACTCTTCTATAAGCATACATGATTAAATATATTGTTGTAACACTTTGACACTTGTAACTACCGACACCGATAAATAAATAAATGTATATTCAAACTTAGGTAATAAAAATCCAACTCAAATCTGATTTCATTAAAAATTCTTAATGATTTTTTCAAATTTTGACGTCTCGGTCTTGGTCTCGTTTTTGTCTCAAACTTCTGGTTTTTATCCTCTGATGTCTCGAGACCTGCTCCTTGAAAATCTTGTCTCGGTCTTGTCTTGAGTCCTCATTGTCTTTGCCTTGCCTTGTTTTTAACAAATACTCTCTCGTAACAACCCTCATTTTATCATTCGGTTGTTTGATTTGATGCATTCATTCTTTTATTGCCGATCTCAGCCATCACTCAAGGCAATAATAATATAATAATTTGATAATAAGAATAACGTTGAAATAATAATCCTCATAAAAAATAGTAGCATTAAAAGTGGTAATTGAATATTAATGTTGTTGTAATAAGAGAAGCAGGAGCAGACGATGTGATGAGAACGATAAAAAATCTCGAAGCAGGTACGTGTATCTGCTTAGTTGTACGTATATTTTTATCTCCAAATGACAAAAAACACAACCAGTATTGTACTGCGATGCAAAAACCTTACAAATAATTAGCTATATTGTTCGCGTGTTTGCGTGAACACAAGACCAAATGTTTGTCTGTTTGTGTCTGTCTGTGTGTTTGCCTGTTTGTGTATGCAAAAGTTTGTATATTTGTCAGGTTATATGCACTTTTATTAATAGTTCATTACTATGCTAATAGCTTTTGAAAAAAATTATCAAAAATTTACAACCTATACATTTTATGCATGCATATGCACAACCCAATTCATTTATGAATATACTAACATGTGCGAACACATACACATGCTAATATGAAAAATCTATTATTTTTACACATTCATGCACACACACACACAAAAACACACACACAATAAGCACTTTCATGGCAATTTACAGTAACAATCATATCCAGCCATATTAAACCGCATCAGAAATAGTAACGGATTAATTAACGTAAACTGTGATTGAATAAATTAGGTATCGGCAGTACACATATAACCGCACACACATATCAACACAAGCCAACATACAACAATGTACAACCACATACAACAACGTACAAGCATACAACAACGTACAACTCATAGAAACATACAAACCATACCAAACATCCAACAATGCACACACAACATACAACAATTTATTCTTCACTAATCTTCCGTATTTTGTTACGTAAACAAACTTCTGAATTATTCGCTGAACCTTTTAAATTTAAACTATGCAAATTGAGCACATGTGTAAGTTACATGTCAATGCGTGTGTGCGTGTGTATTATTTTCATTTGAAGCCTGTGTATGTGCCAATTTGGACTGCGTATTGACCAACGTGCGCGCTTGTGTGGTTGTGTATGTTTTCTAAAGTGTGTTTTTTTGGGAAAAATGTTGATCAACTGATCAAAAATGGTCAGAAAATTTTGTAGGCGATTTTTACAAAATTTAAATTATGTAAAAATTTAATTCAATTTTGTTATTTCAATTGTAAATCTATTTGTGATTTCTAAAAGTTTGAATATTCATCATAATTTAATGACGATTTGTTGTAAGGCAATGAGCATCAAATCACCTGAAGAATAGATAAATAAAGTTAAGCAGATATGTACGAAACGAGCAGCCAGCAGATAGATAGCAGGTAGGAAGCCTCACAAGACGTTGGAGCACTTGATACCTTGATTGATATCTATCTCATTTCTTTTTTAGTTGTTCTGTGAAATGTTTATCTCATGTCATGTACGTACATGTTTCCTTGCTGGGGTGCAATTTTGTTTGTGAACAATTTGTTAAATTATCATCTAAAATAATTTCTTACATTCAAAAAATCTTTAGTAAAAAGTTGGACTTAAAGCTATAATGATTTAAAAACCATGTAAACATTTTAATTTTATACTTTAAAAAAATTTTGAATGAAAAAATGAAGGAAACACAAAGTTAATTTGCCGGCAAGTGATGTGAATAATTTTTGTTACTTTAGCTAATAATGTTGAAAAAAAGAAGCATGAAAGGTTCAATTTCTGTCACTGGGATCGTTGTGTCCATTAGATGTAGTAATGTTCGTACAAGGAAATAATGAACCTGTCATTGCTCCATTGTTCTACGTCAGCTCAATCATTTTAACATAATTATATATGTACTGAGTGATTTATGATGTTGTTGCACTACGCTGCACACACACACACACACACACACACACACACACACACACACACACACACACACACACACACACACAAACATGTAATGTTCTTCCAATCAATACGTCCTTATTAGACAGCATCAGCAGCATTATCAACCAACGAACAAACTAATTATGATGCCAACAACATCTTCAGCATCATTCCCATGCCGGAAGTGGGCGCCGGAAGTAGTTTGACTGAATTGTGCTCGGAATAAGTTTCGGACGAGTAACGTGCTGCTTGCACTGCTCTCTTTCTCTTTCTCTCTCTCTCTCTCTCTCTCTCCCTCTCTCCACTTACTCTTTGCTAATCGTCTCTTCTTATTTGCTAAATTTTGTTACTGCTTGTTTAATTACAGCGTATTTAGGCACAGCAATAATCACAACGTTATCGGCATTCTTCTTTCATATTTTGATTTTGTTGGTTAATATTTTTTGTTCCCGCATGAAGTACACGGCAATATTTTATAATTATTTTTTACAAAAATATTTTAAATTTAAGTAAATTTTCTAATTAAAAATTGTAGATAATTTTTTATTTAGAGATAATTTAAAAACTGATTTGTGGAGCATCAACATCCACCCAATTGATGTTAAAATTAATTTCCTTCTCATAACGCACGCAGATTTATTAATATGTTGTGATGTCACCCTTCACACATTTCAACAAAATGCTAACCAACTTTGACAACGGACCTTCCAAGTCTGATAACATGTCAGCAGCAGCAGCAGCAGCAGCAGCAACAACAACAACAACAACGACAAAATTGGCCAACAATAACTCCACTACCTACAGCAGCGACACAAACACTAACAACATATGTGGCATGCCCAGGACAACAAGCCCCATTGTCACTCTATTGAAGAAGAAGCGAGGTGTGTGTAAAAGACCTCGAATGTTAAATTAACAACAGAATTTATTATTTCGTTAATGCTTTTAACAGCTGTTGAGAACGCTAGTGTTCTTTCGTTATATGATAACATAGGTAATGTTGAAATGACTTTTTGATAAGATTGTTGATGTCGAAAGGATTGTACGATGAGATTGTTGATGTTGAAATGACTGTATGATGAAATTGTTATATATACATGTGTTGAGATGAAATTGAGAAAATGGTGATTATCCACAGGATCTTCCAATAAAACTCCAGTAGCAGATAATATTGTTGACATAACAATCGAAGCTACAAATGGCGCGAAGATCTATCATGACGTGAGCACACAAGAAGCTGGCAACCACGCACAACATAACAACATCACAGCAGGAAATTACATTCAGCAGGAGGGGGTTATATACAAGTTTTAAGATAATAAAAAAATTTATTAAATTTAGAAACGGGCATTTTAAAGTTAAATTAATCCCACATTGTCAGTAAAAATAAAAAATAAATTATAAGTATAAATTGTAATTAACAGGGAAAGATTGAAAAGCCAGCAAAGCTTGCAGGTTTAATTCATACATTTAACAAACTAAATACTTAATGATTTAATTTGCTTATTAAGTGAACAATCTTTCAACAACCTACCAACAGATAACGAGGTAGATACATAACTGATTAATATATATAATGTTTACAAAACAATTTTAAATTGCAGAAAATATAATTGACGCAAACAACCTAGAGCATGAGCAACAACTTCATTGGCAGAAGCAGCAGCAACAACACCCACAACAACCCCATCATCAACCACAACAACATTCACATCAACCACATCAACGAAAGCAACAACAAAAACAACACGTTCCATCTCAGCCTCTTCCTCGTTCAAAAGTCGTCATGGATGTTATCAAAGAGAACCTTGAACAGAAACCAAGAACAGAGTCTAGGCGAAAGTAAGAGAATTCACCAACAAATATCATCAACACAAACCCAACACTTTACACTTTCTATGGTGTACTTTTTATAATTGGTTTGTGCAAAAATGTCAATCTTCACCACCAAACCACCGTTGATAAATTTCTAAATAACTTTTTAGCTTCTTTGTAAAAAAAGTATATCAAGATTCATATTTGTGAGTCTATCACAACCAGGCAATTTTAACTTTTACAGCAAGTTAAAACACAATACAATTAAATTTCAATGTCAAATTTAAATATTTTCAATTAATTCAAATAATGTAAAATTCAGCCATTATATGGAAAATGATAGAATTGCAAGTTTTTATGTTGAATGACAAAAGTTGAAAAAGTTAGATACGAGCAATATTGAAATGTGTTCAAGGCTCGGGGTGATCAATAACATTTATTTTAAACATTCAGAACCTATTTGAATTTGCATTTCTGAGTTGTGTAAGTAGTTGCACTGTATTGTAAATGTAAAAGATCAATGTTGGAGGTGTATCGAATGACGCTGACTGACACTGCTGTGCAATATAAAAACTGTACAGAGATGAGCTTAAGTTAATGTTTTTGAAATGTTTCAACATCTAATATAGCGAGCATATTAGTCGTTAAAATTATATTGTTTTGGGACAAACTGAAAATTTTTTTCATATAAACTTAATTAAAACATAATTAGAAAAATGTTCGACTCTATCAAATGCATGAATATGTATAGATGTGCTGGAGTATACAGTGCAACAAAATGCTGGTCTTCATTATAAAATTTTAATTGGAAACCAGATTGATGTTTCTATAAAATGTTTATGTAATGCGTGTATCGTCTTTGCAACATTGTACCTTCTGTGTGATATTCTAAACACAAACACACAAACTAACAAACAAACAAAACAATATATATATATATATATATATATATATATATATATAATTGTTGGTAATAGACCATAATTTTTACAATATTCTATAAATTCTACCGAATGTTTGGCGTCAATATGTTTGTAGTTCGTTTTTTCGATTTTTCTCACTAAAGTTTTTTGGTGAACGTTTAGTTTATTAAAATTCAAAATAAACTTATTTTTAGAATTCATGCTGCAAATAAGGCCATATTTCGATTCCGAATGAATCATCATCAGTGCTCCTTGCTGTATATATAGGGAAATATTGACTTTGTCAAGATGAACTTTGACTATATATATATAATTATATATAACATAGATGCATATTCCATATATCACGCTAAAAAATAAATGAAATATTTTATTAACAAAAACTTGGCTTGAAGATCAAGCGAGTTAATAAAAAACTCTAAGTATATATCATCTCTTTTTATAGATATATACATACATATATTATATATATATTCTTTATATACGAAACTTTTTTCTCACTCTTTTCTCTCTCTCTCTCTCTCTCTCTCTCTCTCTATATATATATATATATATATACATTATAAAATAATGTAATATATGGTTTAAACGTTGAAAATTTGTAAACAACTACCATGTTTTTTGTGGTTCATATTTTGTCACTTGTTAAATGCTAGTCGTATCGCGTGCAGTGGTCTGTTTACAATTAGGATGTTAAGTAGATGAATGAAAGGATACTTTTGACTGTTGAATGTTTCATAACAGATTTTAAACGATGAAAATGCAACAATAATGTGGTGCAACTAATTTTTTTCGAACTATTCATCTATCGTTTGTCGGATTGCCATGTTGGAAACGTAATCTTTTTTTTCAAATTAATAAAATGTTTCACTTAGTTATTTATTTACAGTTTCACTTTTTTCAATTATTTTTAAATGAAACAAAAATTATATGAGAGATTGATGTAAGAAAGTTGAAAATGATTTCTTGTTTTTCGTTGACAGACCTTGGAATCCACCGAATGCAACTTACAGCTACAAGAAATACTGCAACGAGCCCAACAAGTTGGACAACTACGAACCTGGAACCTCTTCAGTTCTTCGACTTGACCCATTCGCGGTACGTGGTGTCGTTTGCATCGTGCTGTGTTGCTTTGTGTGCTACTTCAAAGTGCTTCGTTGAGAAAAAATATAATTTCTTTGAAAATCAATTTATTTTAGATTGTTCGATCTGGATTTATTAATCAGATTCGGTGCCAGAAATTTGTTATAGAGGTGAACCTGTTAGCAAACATTATTTTTAAAGTCTGGTTTGTTCATTCTTCAAAATGATTGTTTAAACTCCGAAGAGTTTTTTTTATCATTCGATCACTTGTCACTGCCATTTGAATGTCATAAATATTTTCCTTACTTTTCTGACTATTTCAATTTTTACCAGATTATCTGCAAATAATGTTAGTAAAGAGACTTACAATCGTTAACAACTTATTGTTAGTTGCTTGATGAGTTATTATCAGTTGATATATATAGCAATTTAACATTTAACACCAGTATTATTTGAATGCTTTAAAAATCCATTGAAGCATTTGCTTTAAGTGCGCTGTTCATTGCTGTGATACAAAATCCTTAAACCAGATCTTGTTTCAAGAAACTTTCATTCTTCAACACTATTGATAAGATATTTCTTTTCAATCATACTCATTAACGCGAAATTTTAAACTCAAGTGTCATTCAAGTAGCATTTCGTACATGATGTTTCTAAAAATTTGTTTGTCATCTGTTTAAACATTTCCTATGGTTTTTAATTTTCTTCTTTCGTTTGGTATTTTTTGAAGTTAGTTGTCTACTTGATGTCTCATTATCGCCAAAAAAATTAAATTTTGTTTCTCGCTCTTTTACATTATTTTATATTTATTTAAATATTTTTTGAATAATTATCATCTATCTATCTATATTATCATATTATATTGAAATATTGTAAAATAAATTTTTTATAGAAACAAATGCTATAGCATAATAAACTTAAACTTGAATTTAAAAAATTTTAAAAAAAAATTTAAACTTTCCCATTACATCGTGTTAATAATAATTTATGAAGAATTTTTAACAACCTGAGAAAAACAAATAAATGCATCTAATTTAATTAATTATAACGTGAATTTATTGGAAGATTGCATCAGACGTCGTCAGACCAAGCCAGAAATGTGCCAATCATTCAATTAAATGATGTGATTCACTTCTAATTACATTATTCAAACGCGTTCAGCCACTTTCCCTATTTCACTTTATCGGGAAAACGCATTAATCATCACGTTTCAGCTACGACGAATTCGAGACCTAACCAAATAATAATTGAAACCTATATTGAGGCATGACCAAATTATCAATTATTTAGAGTAGACAAAGTTTTACATGTATTAGTTTCATATAATATAATGAAAACCTATTACTTGTTGGCAATTGCAGGCGTTGTCTTACAATCCTCCCGTTGAAAAACCAGGAGACCATTGCAAATAGTTAGATTAGAGTTTTGTTGAAAAGTTCATTTTTATAATTTGTTATGTAATTTAAACCTTGAAAATAATATAAATGATTGTACATATGATCAATGATGGCATTTCTAAATTAAAAAAAACGATAAACTAAACAGTTTGGAAACAAAAACACCCAACAAGTACTGCATGCATAAGAACATTCAGAAGCCAAAGAGCATTGGAACACCTCACCACGTTTATATGAAGGTGCAACATGGTGGAGAGATTCCTATAAATGGTCTCTTTTCGCCACCTGAAGCCAAACCAGGTGATGGCTTTTTGTTTTCTAGTTAGTTGGTGTTGCAAAAGCAGATGAACAACGTATAAAACCACATTTTTCGTAAATAGTCATAAAACTTTTGTTTGTAATAATTTACAAATTTGTCAATAAATACATAGAAAAGAATTTCCGCACAAGTTGTCCCGATGACATAAATGTTAATTATTTACAAAAATAAAAATGAACTTAAAATGACACAAATAATAATTGGTCAACTACTATGCGTACCTTTACCGCAGATATTCGGCTTGCCTCTGGAACGGGCAGACGACATTCAGACGCCACCATTCATCCCAACAATCCAGCTCGAACTCACTCCAACAATCCAACTTCAACCCATCCTAACGATCTCCACCCAAGACACACCAGCTCTTCTCCGAGAAGCAATATTGTCCATAAAATTTTTTCTAATGTTAACACAAATCAATCTCTGTCAGCGTTGCTCTCATCGGCCAACGAAGACATGAGGAATCGCAAGTCCAGGGAAGAAATACACAAGGCCAGAAAAAAAGAAATGGTTCGTTTCAAATTCAAAAAAGATCAGATTTCAAAATTAAAAACTTTTAAAAACATGCAAACAATTTAATGGCTTCACAACAAATATTTCAATATTTTTACAAAAATCTATTAGTCCAGAGAGGGACAAAGTTAATGAACAGTTCATTACATCAAAATGTAGTCACTTTTTAAATGTATATTTGACCTCTTCAAAATTGGATTAATGACTTTTGTGATATACCGTGTTTTAACTACGGATTAAAAAATAATTTTCAGGAGCATGTGCTGAACAGCTTGAAAGAGAAAAAACGGTTAATGGAGATTGACGAGAACAGAGCGCGCCGACATTCCGACTTTTACAGGTATCGCTCGCTTCAATCTTGCCTGCGTCTTCATAGTTACGCTGTTTTATAATTTGTAAAATATTTTTAAAATATGTTGTTATAATAATTTCCTATGAAATAAAAATAAAAATCATGGCCAAATTAAAAAAAAACATCACGCCAAACAAATGCCGTCAACTTTTAAGACCGTTGAACGGATCAAATATAACCAAAGTATTTTTATGTAGAGATTTTATTGAATAAAACTCGATGAACTGTCCTTCAATAGTTTTACTTTACAGCATCTTTGATCCACATTCATCGACAAAATTTGACATTATATATTTGCATTTTGAAGTATTTTGTATGTAAATTTGTCATATATTTATGTAAGCTGCAAATCGTTTGTTCTTGAAACGCTGTTTTAATAGCAAAATAAAAAGTTTGGCGTTAAAAAAATTAATTTTGAATGACATCAGACACCAGAGCAAGTCTCCTGTGATCCTAGATAGATACAACTTTGACGATGTAGTCTGGAGAAGCAACACATGCACGCCAACATCGCCCTACAGATTGAGCAGAAGAGCCAGAGTCCTGTACAATTTCTATGCTAAAGATATCAAGTCAGTGACTCACAATTTCTTTGCTCGGGTACGACTTGTGATATGAATGTCATATTTTTTATAATATTTAATATATATTTTTAATTATTTTTAACATTTTGTTAACTTTGAAAAACTTGTTAATAAACTACCAATGTTTATTCACATTAAGAGAATTGACGCTGCGTAAGAACGATATAGTTCTCATTTGGAAAGCCATTGATAACAATTGGTACGAGGGTGAACACCACGGCGCCGTCGGAATATTTCCTGCCAACTATGTTCAAGTGAACTTTACAGTTATTTTTTGATATTTTTTAAAACTAAAATTTTATTTCTATATTGAGAATATTTAAATATTTTTCGTCATTATAAAACGTTAAAAATAATTATAAACTTTTATAAATTAGGTTTTGCCTTCTTCCTATTTAGATGAAACAACAGCTGCAGTTGGAGAAATATGTTTCGTGCCCTTCAGTTTTCATGCTTCGAGAAAAGGAGAACTTTCAGTACAAAAGGTCACATTTTTATTGAAATTTCAACATGACTCTACTAAAGTTGACTTTTTTAAACTTCCACCAAACAGGGAGATTTGGTTCGGGTTATGAAAATAATAGATAACAATTGGCTAAAAGTGGAATTGATAAATGGATCTCAGGCAGAAACCCTTGGTAAAAATGGTTCAAATCAAGAAGGCATTCACGGATTGGTACCTCGTACGTACGTTCAGTCATTGCATCACATCAATTCCTCGTATGCAGGTTAGCAGTTGCTAGTCTAAGGTTTACAAATTTTGTGATATTCAAATACAACTCAAAAACAAATTTTCCAAGTTTCTAAAATAGTTCAATTGTAATTAATTCTATAAGAGAAATTACGGTAATCTATATTCATTAAACTAGTTACGTTAAATAAATAATGATGAAAAATATGGTAGTCTGT